GCATTTTGCCTTGGCCCCAAAATGTCTTGAAACGGCCCTGGGTGTGTGACTGAGTTTTGAAGGTGATCTGAATTGTATCAGATGTATAAATATGACATGTGTATAACTTATTGTTTTTTACTGGTAAAAACGTGTCGTGGAGATAAATCTACCTACATTTGACTTTTCAACACTTTGTTTTGTTTTCTTGTTTTTATTTAACTATTTTCCTGTCCTGTCTGTCTCTCATCTTCCTGCATCTCCTCATAATTCTCCAGAAAATCTGTTGCCTGGATTCTTACCTTTTCACCTCATCAGTTACTTTTGAGCAGATCAAAGTATCTCCTGACCGAAAAGCGCAGAGCGCGTTTTCGATGCTGCGTGAGGTGACATCACCACAGCACAGGTGATGAGCTCCGCAGTAGCGAGCTTCAGGCACAAATAAGACAGAAAATAGAGAACATGTGCGGACATGAACGATCGTGTGCCAATTATAGTTTTTTGGTTGCGCCACTTTGAGAATGGACCGTGCGCTGGAAGCAGCTGCCTGGATCGCTGCGCGACAATGCGGAACCGGTTCGCAGCAGCGCAAGTCTGCCGGCTCTCCCTCGCGCTGATCTGCCGGTACTGGCTCTCCCTCACGCTGATCTGCGGCTCTCCCTCGCGCTGATCTGCCGGCTCTCCCTCGCGCTGATCTGCGGCTCTCCCTCGCGCTGATCTGCCGGCTCTACCTCGCGCTGATCTGACTTGCTCTGGTCTGCGCGCAACGGCGGGCGGGGGGGGGGGGGGTTGGGCGCTTTTGGAAGAGTTGTGCGACACAACGAATCGATGACGCAATTCGTTGCCAACGCTTTTAGTAATCGATTTTCATCGAATTTATCGATTCGTTGTTGCAGCCCTAACCCAGACCCTACAATGAAACTTCACCATCGACAGCTGTCAACAGAGAATTGTGTGTTTTCTCTGATGCTTCAACAAAAGCTATTGCTGCAGTAGCATATCTTAGAGTCACAAACACTGCTGGAAACCATCATGTGGGGTTCGTCATGGGAAAGGCCAAGCTGGCTCCTCGTCCAGAGCACACAATCCCGAGATTGGAGCTCTGTGCAGCAGTACTGGCTGTTGAGTTGTCAGACCTGATCTCAGCAGAACTTGATCTTCCGCTTAATGCTGTGACTTATTACACAGATAGCAAGGTGGTTCTGGGCTACATTTGCAATGAGACTAGGCGATTTTATGTGTACGTAAGCAATCGAGTCCTGCGCATTCGAAGATCCTCCAGTCCACGCCAGTGGCGCTACGTGGCCACAAACCAGAACCCTGCAGACCATGCAACACGTTTGGTTGCTGCGGGCACTTTAAAAGACACCAACTGGCTTAGTGGACCCAGGTTTTTGTCCAAATCAGAGCAAGATGTCCCTGGTATCACCTTTGATCTTGTGGAACCAGGTTCAGATCCAGACATCCGACCGTTTGTGTCTACATTAAGCACTGCCACAGCATCCAAGCAACTTGGGTCCCAACGATTCACCAAGTTTTCTTCGTGGCGGTCACTGACTCGTGCAATCGCCCATCTGAAACATATTGCCAGTTGCTACAACATGATCACAACAAACAGACTTTGTAAGGGCTGGCATCTTTGCAAGACAGGATTGAGTGTTGAGGAATCCACTCAAGCCTCAGACATCATCATTCGATCAGTCCAAGAAGAGGTTTATGGTGAGGAGATCAAATGTATCATGGTACACAAAGAGGTTCCCAGAAGTAGTCCTCTGAAAAGTCTCAATCCCTTTATTGATGCACATGGCCTACTAAGAGTCGGAGGTCGTCTTAACTATTCAAGCCTTGCTCAGAGAGAGAAGTCTCCTGTGATTATTCCAGGGAATCATCATATTGTGACCCTGCTCATTAGACAGTACCACGAACAAGTTCACCATCAAAGGCGTCTGTTTACGGAAGGGGCTGTCCATTCAGCTGGGTTTTGGATTGTTGGTGGCTAGAGAAAAGTGAGCAGCAGCATCTACCGATGTGTGACATGCGGAAGACTCAGAGCTCCAGTAAGCTGTCAAAAAATGGTCAGCCTTCCGGCAGATCGTGTTTCAACAGACCCTCCCTTCACAAATGTTGGCCTTGATGTGTTTGGTCCTTGGAGTGTTTCTGCACGCCGGACTAGAGGAGGCCTCTCACACAGCAAAAGGTGGGCTGTGATTTTTACATGTATGAGCGTAAGAGCAGTACATATTGAAGTCATAGAATCCCTTGACACGTCCAGCTTTATCAACGTATTAAGGCGGTTTCTTGCAGTCAGAGGGCCAGTCAAAAGTATTCGATCAGACAGAGGCACTAACTTCGTGGGTGCTTGTCAGGCCTTGAAGATACCTTCTAACGTCGACCACAATGGTGTCAAGTCTTACCTGTCAGCCCAAGGATGCTCTTGGACATTCAACCCTCCACATGCCTCCCACTTTGGAATGTGGGAAAGGATGATTGGTCTGGCTAGAAGGATTCTTGACTCCATGTTCCTCCAGCTCAAAGGGAAGCTTACCCATGAAGTGTTGGTAACTTTCATGGCAGAAGCAGCAGGCATTATTAATGCCCGACCTCTTGTTCCTGTTAAACTGACCCCGATAACTCATTCATTCTTACGCCAGCTGCTCTTCTAACACAGAAGGTAAACTGTTGGGCCATTCCCATCTGTACCGGGTCGGCCCGGGCCGGGTAGCCCCAGTCGGCCCCAGCCTGGCCCGGTTGATTACACACATCCTTGCCTTAAGCCCATGTGGGCTGATTCTACCCACCAATCAGAGGCTTGCTCTAATGGAAGGTGTGAATTTGCTGTCAGCAGTGGGTGTGTTGGCCCTGGTCGGCCTGAAGCAGACCCCCTCGAGAAGAGGGCTGAGAATGAGCCTTGGTTGGCCCAGAAAAATACCAGGCCACCCAGATATGTAAACAACAAGCCAGGGGATGTTGTTCTCCTCAAGGACAGCCAAGTACAAAGAAATAAGTGGCCACTTGGTCTGATAACACAGACCTTCCAAAGCAAAGATGGTAAAGTTCGCCAGGTCGAGGTCAAGGTCATCAAGCCCGGAGGAGAAACATTGTTTGTCAGACCATTACAGAAATAGTACTTCTTCTGGCTCCAAATGTCTAGGTGTTAAACTGTCATTGGCAAAGTGTGGTGGCGTTAATCACGCCAGGCGGGGAGTGTTCTGATATCAAAGATTATGTTAAGGAAGACTGTTTTCTTGTATTAGGTAAATGTTTAAATATGCAATTGTAACTCCCTGGTGCCACCTTAAAAACTTGCAGTTGGTAACAGGACATGATGTGATCAGTAAATAGGAAGTAAGTCTGTGAATTAAGGAGAAGGCATGTGCAGCATGGTGACTAGGGTTGGGTACCGAATTCGGTACTTTTTAAGGTACCGACCGAATTCCACAGTACCGACCGAGCACCGATTCACTTCATTTGAAACGGTGCCTCATTTCGGTACCCGTCCTTCACAACGAGAACTTGCCTAGACAGCTGTGCATGCGCAAGAGCGTTATGTCATCGGTCGCTGCGAGCGAGTTGTAAACAGAGCAGCATGGTAGAAAGAACGAACGCTAAAGCTTGGGTCCACTTCACTAAATGTGATGGGTAACTGAGTGATGATGAAACCAGCGACAAAGATCTAAGTGAGACATCCTCATCTTAATCTGCTCCGTTAGGTAAATAAAATGTAAGATAACATTAGCTTGATTTGTTAGCTTCCGTTTCACTAATGGTGCGTTCGCTTTCTCCTCGGAACTCCGAAATTCCGACTAGAAGAACATGAACGCACTCTAAAGTTTGGCTTCATTTTACTAAATGCGACGGGTGATTGGGTGAAGATGAAACCAGCGACAACGATCTAAGTGTGAGGCATCATCGTTTTAATCTGCTCCAGCAGTTAAATAAACTGTTTAAGATAACGTAGCTTGATATGTTGGCTTCCTATGCCACCATTGTTATCATCTAATGGTGCGTTCGCTTCCTCCTCGGGAATTCTAACTTCCCAATAGGAAAAATCAATTGAAAAAAGATGGCAAAAGGAATGAAGATACACAGTAAATTTAGTTTACAGTAAAGATGTTTGCTTCAATTTGATTATCAGCTTATAAAACTACAAGGACGATGTGAAAATACAAACAGTTGTATGTTATTTATCATGATATTTATCAAATATGGTTATAAATTGAGAAAAATATATATTTAATTATAAAAGAGAATTAAAATATTAAACACTCAAAAGTATCGAAAATTGGTACCGTTAAGTACCGGTATGGATTCGTAGGTACCGGGAATTAGTACCGGATCGATTCAAATGTCAAAGGTACCCATCCCTAAACTGTGACCTTAGCCAGATAAATCCAGTGGCATCCACACACATCCTATGTCTTTGGTAGCATTGTGGGTATGTATAGACTTGTTTTATATGTTATTTGCATGCATAAATCATTTTCTTTCGAGTAAGTTCATTTTTTTTGTAAGTTAAATGATAAAACCGATCTTGTGCAGTTTGAGCTAGCAATCGCTAATGGAGCTAGTTAAAGGGGAACAGCAAACACATTAAAACCATTCATTATAGCGAGACTTGTTAAAATCATAATTTGATGTTTGTATTTGAGTTAAAAAGATAAGTAATTCATATGGACATTGCATGTTGACATATTTAAAAAGAAACTGGGTTAATACATTTTCATCGTTATATATGTACATGGTGAATAAGTACAGTGATTATGCCTTGTACTGTTTGTTACAGTTTCACCTTTCCCTGTGTCAATAAACCTGTGAACCGGGAATCGTGTCGTCAGAGCCTTGATGTGGGGAAGGAGTTTAGCTGACTGCCCATCCCTAGCAGAGGCAGTACACAGAGGGAACTTAGTTTCAGTACACAATTCTGAGAGCAGACATATATGGGCATAGACACATGACAAGAGTTGGTGACTGCAACCCGAGTCGCCTTTCTTACTCTGCTGCTTTGTTTTCTCTCTCTCTAGATGCTGCCTGAGTCCTGGCAGGCAGCTCTGACTGCAGAACAGCAGGAGTGGATCGGCCGGGTGCTGTTCACCAGGGACGATGCTGGGAGGCCGCATCTCATCACGGAGCTCAGTCCCTGGTGGTACCCTCCCCAGCCCCGGGCGGTCTACAATCAGCCTCTCGCCTCTCCCGACCCCTTCTTTGCATGTCGGCTCTTCCTGTGGATGCCTCACAGGATGTGGCACCTGCAGCTGACGTGCCCCCAGCCTTTGTGCAGCGGCATCCTGATAAAGGCTGGGCTCTACAGGACCATCCGGAGGGTCCTGGACATCGACGGCTGGTATCTCATGGCCACTGAGTACCTGGAGTGCCATCGATGTAAGAAGAAGGTCGGAGGGTGGTCACAGGGCATCTTAAGGCAGCTGCCCCCCACCTACAGCTGCCAGTTCCCAGCTGTCCTCACGTACAAGTATGAGAAGAGTGAAACTGTGCTCATGCGGGTGTGTCCAGCAGAGTATAATGTGGTAATGTTTGTTTTGTTCACGCAGGCTGTCCTGTGACCAGAGGGTGGTTGCTACGCTGAGATCTCGCACTCTGGGCAACAGTGCCACTCAGCTGTGCAACACCCTGCGGGAGCAGCATTCCGACGCCTGGATGCGGAGAGCGATTCAGTACCTCGGCGTCTGCGAGCAGTTCCTGGCCTTGGGTACCACAAGGGGGCAGATCGCACCACCTCCCCAGATGCCCCCTGTGCCCTCACCCGTCTGGCTGCTGACCGTTTACGGTTACGACGTGCTGACGCGGCTGGACGAGTACAAGGCCAGGATCACGTCCACCTTCGGATCCATCCTAAAGATGGATTCCACAAAGAAGGTCGGTCACCGCGTTGTGTTTACTTGCTGCTTGTGAACAACAGTTCTGCTGGTCTTTACGCAGGAAGTTCTCTGTGTGCAGGTGACGAAGAAGCTCGCAGGTGCCGCCTGGGCTACCAACGTGGGCAACGAGCACGGCCAGGTCCTCATGAGCGTCCTCACTTGCTGCGAGGGCTCCGAGGGCCTGTCCAAGATGGCGGCCGGACTGATGAGGCGGTACCGATTAGCCGAGGTACCTGCCCCCCAGCTCATCTACGTGGACCACGACTGCTGCAGACAGGACGGCGTGTCCAAGACGGCTGCCTTATTTCCGGTATAAACTTGCGTCGTTGCTGACTGTCTTATTTAGTTGTTTATTTAATTTTTCATAGCAATGATTCATTATTTTGTTGTGAATTACTTTAATGGATCACCAGGTCACCTGAATTTCTACCCAATGTCTCTCTGAAAAATTTAAAACAATCAGACACCCAAATAAATTTCTGTAAAAGACAATTTATAGAGCAGTGAATGTTTTTGGGGTTCTGATCTTGACTGTGGTGCAGGTAAAACATGGTGTGCAACACTCCAATGACTAACCTCTCTGTCGCAGGAGTGGGAACAGCTCATTGTTCGGCTGGACATCTGGCATCTGATGCACCGCTTCGCATCAGGTGTCACCACAGAGAGCCACGAGCTGTATCCCACCTTCATGAGGCAGCTGTCTTACTGCATCTTTGAGGTGGACGCCGAAGATGCTCGCCGTCTCGTGGGAGCCAAGCGGTCCGAGCTGGAGGGGACGCACGGGATGGTCAACCTGACGGACGCTGATGTGATCCAGCGGATCAGCAAGGAGGAATGGAGGCTCCACTGCCGCAGGAGGACGCGTGGAGCAGAGGAGTCGACGCTCCTCATCCAAAACCTCCTTGACACCTTCAGAGGGCCCGCAGGACACAACACGCTGAACATCCCGTTGCTAAACGCTCTCCTCATCCAGGACATCTGGGACACGCAGAGGCGCCACCTCAGCTGCATCCAGGACCCCCCCTGGCGTGCAGCTGTACACCCAGACGGGCAGTCTGCAAAAAGGAGGGGTCAGGCTGCCCATCTATCGCTGCGCGAGGGGCTCCACTTCCCTGAAGTCCTTCCATCTCCACCTGAACCGCTTCATCCCAGGTGAGAAACCAGAATCTGTCAAGAAATCTGTTTTATTTCTGTAAACTGTTCCTTTTCAGGTGTCAGTAAAAGCTTAAGCTGATTTTATAATCTAATCACGCAGGAACGTCGGCCAGTGCCAAGTACTTCCAGGCGTTCCTGATTGATGGACTGGTCAGGTGGAACGAGGACCGCGCAGCGGCAGCTGAGGGACACGAGGCGCCTCTGCTGTCCTACAGTGGCCACCTCAGGCACACCCTGAACCAGAAGAGCCAAAGGGTGCTTGGTCATCAGATGGTTAAGGACTTCACCAAGCCTGCTGCTTACACAGGTAGACGAACAGAGGAACACGTTTTATTTACTCGTGACTTTTAATGACACTGTGCACCAATACTTTGCTAAGAAGGGGCTTTGAACCGTTTACATATCCACAAAATCTCAGGTGAGCTCATCGGGGTGGAGTACCTGTTCCAGCAGACAGGCCGCGTGCTTGAGGACATCAGCATGGACCCTGACGCTCCGGACGAGGCTGCTGCCGTCACCGACCTGGACGAGGGCATACAGGAGGACGTGGGCGACTACGTCGCCGCCTTCGTCCTTGACGACCCGTCCACCAGCACTTCAGGAGCAGCCCGGTCAGGGGATCCAGCTGTCGCACCCGGGTCTGAGCCATCACATCCTGCCGCCCCTGCGCATCACGCCCCTCCCGAGGTCCCTGGAAGCCAGACTCCTGAAGAGAAACACTCCTCTGATTCAGAGGTCTTTGATCCCCCCTCTGCTAATCATTTCACAGCTGACCCACCTAATTTTGTTTTTTCACGTATTCAGAGATAATTCAGAAATTTGACTTCTTTTTCCCATTTTCTTTGTTTCTCTGGAGGAGATCCAGGGTCCTGACGGCCAGCCAGGATACCAAGAAAACAAGCTGCAAGGAGCGAGAAGAACAAGCACCATCCGTCTCGGCGGATGGTGCTTGTTCTTCTCGCTCCTTGCAGCTTGTTTTCTCGTGTTTTCTCGCGCTCACTCCGGGAGTCGAAGTGCGTAGGTTCGATTCCCTTCCCGCTCAGTGCGAATACAAAAGTGGAAATGTATGCGAAATCTGCATAACAACACTAATTATTATGTAAATAATTTTTCACAATTACCTCTTTAAATTTAATTATGATTGTGATGAACCACTGAGCTGTGAAATATATTTGTGATAATACACATGTAAAATATAGAATACATATGAAAAAATACATCTGTGTTGAAATATATTTGTGATGTCATAAAACATGTAATAAATGTATGTGTCCAAGATCATAAAAACTTTCAAAGATTTAAAGTGTTTTCGTTTATATATATATATATATATATATATATATATATATATATATATATGAAATAAAAGAAAAAGTCTTTAAAAAGAAAAATCCAAAAGGTGAAGACAGTTTTTCTGTCTTGGTCCCTCAGCTCCTCGACACATCCAATCTCCCTCCAGTGTTATTCATCTCCTCCTCCCTCCACTCCTCTACAGACTTTTCCGCCAACAGATGCGCAGTAGGACACGCCTGCAGTGTGTGTCCAGCCGCTTGGGCTGACCACATCTGCTGCAGGTGTACTGCAGGCGGGCTGTCTTTGATGGTGGAGCCTGCACGCTAGCAGCAGCTGCAGCAGTAGCCTCCGCTACCTTCCTATACGAATGAAATCGACCTAGGCATAGACATTCTCTTAATTATCTTTGGAACTCATGACTTCAAATAAAAGTTTTTAAATTCTTGCAGTGAGCTTTTATTGTGAAGTTCCTTTCTTTACATGTCCATGTGTACAGCAGGTTGTTGTTAACACATTTAGATTGTTGGTATTCTTGTCGGATCATTTATTTACTGAAGAAAACAGCTTGTTCCCTCAGCTCTTCAACGCATCCATTCTCCCGTCCTTTTCAGGTGTAGATAGCACATCTTTGGAGGAGTTTACAGGAAAACAGGAGCTTGGGTGAGGAAATTAATAAACCACTGAGGACGAAGGTTAGAAATAGTGTGACTGGACAAAAATCCCAACAACAAACCAGGTGTGGTTCACAGATAAACAGCCAGCAAACGTGGGGCGAAAACCTCGTCACACATGTGAGGAGAAACTCTGCTGCTGTGCAGCAGGTGGTGGAGCGGATTTTTTACAAGCCACATTTATTACACGTTAGAGAGCTTCACAATTATGTTTGAGTTCAGCAGTGTCACCGGTTCATTATTGGGTTTCTTCATCGACTCCACAGAACTAAGTTTCTCTGTCTAAAGTCCAAAATTACTTTATTAATCCCAGAAGGTAGTTAAGATTTGTCTTAACTAATTATTCAAAGCAGTCTTTAAAATAAATACTAGTAATAATAATGAGCTCAGTTGGAAATCTGAGTGGTTAAAGATGCTGAAGGCTGTGGGCAGGATGGATCTCCTGTGTTACAGCAGCTCTGAAGAAGATGCTTGTTGCATGAAGAGGATGCTCAGTGTTGTCTATAATGTTATTGATTTTATGAAAAATCCTTCTTTGCACCATCATCTCCAGTGGTTCTCAGTCGTCTCCAGAACAGAACCAGCCTTTTTGCCAGGTTGTTGAGCCTTTTTAGGTCCCTGCTGGCTCTGATGCTGCTGCCCCAACAGCTGGTGGCCCAAGAGATCTCAACAGACCTGTAAAAGATCTGCAGCCTCTTGCTGCAGACCTTGAAGGATCTAAAATATTATTCGATATACAGTCTACTCTGTCCCTTCTTGGAGATGGCTTCATGCTTGTGTCTCCAGTCCAGTCTGTTGTCCAGATGAACACCGAGGTATTTGTAATCTTCCACCACCTCCCCCTACTCCCCAATAATGCATGTTGAGCTATTCCCGTTTCTTTCTAAATCATCCAATTTGGTTTGTTCACATTCAAGATTATGTGAGTGTCCCCACACCACGCCACAAAGTGGTCCACCAGCTCTCTGTACTCTTGACCATCTCTCATAAACCCGACGACTGCAGAATCGTCTGAGTCTTTCTGCAGATGACAGGTCTCCGACTTGTTCTGGAAGTCTGCAGAGTGAAAAGGAATGGTGAGAGTACTGTACAGGCATCAAATGTACAATTGTGGAATAAGTTTCCCAACGAGCAGATCAGTATAATATAACATTAAACAAAGAACATAAACAGGGAAATACCAGTTTAAAAACATGCTTTTACACACATAATACAGAAAACAGAGAACTTTGTGCCAACTGGGGACGTGGTGAAAGATCATTTCACACTACTCTCCTCCTCCTTAGTTCAGAAGAAAATATTACCATATCTTAAACATCGCTCGTAGGACAACAAACTGTTTTTTTAACATGTTAAAAGTCTAATTGTTTTTTTAAAGTAACAATTGTACGTCTCAGTCACTTCAGTAGTGGAGGAACGCCAGCTCAGAGTGAAAGAGGATCTATTTCAGAGTTGAAACAATCCAGCTCTCTGATTGGATGCTGAAAACCTGTGCTTCTCAAAATTGAAACAACCCAGTCATTTGATTGGTCAAATGTTGGAACTGAGCAGGGGGACACGCCCCTAACTGCTTCATAACAATGTCATATTAGGGTTAGTTATGTTATTTAAAAAAAATGAGGAACGCTTCACGAATTTGCGTGTCATCCTTGCGCCAGGGGCCATGCTAATCTTCTCTGTATCGTTCCAATTTTAGTGTATGTGTTAGCGAGCTAACACGATGATGAGATGATTCCTGAGCCGATTTCCAAACTCAATGATTGGGCTGTGTACTAACTTACGGTGTCAATGAAAGGACCCAGCTGCATTATGGGATATGTGGGCGGACCAAGCGGAAATGCCGACTAAAATGTTGAGGATAAATGTGTTTAACTCATCTCAGTTACGCTATGAAAACACTGTGGCTCTTGCACTGCACACTTGATAACAATAACACCTAACTCGTTGTGTTACACTGAATATTTATGGTATTCGTTGGTTTTAGTCCCACTGACCAACTTCTCAGCACTCTTAAACAGTACACACACGATCTGTCTGGTCCATTATCAAGAAACCTGCTTGTTTTTACTATATTGGTTGAATAAAACGCATAACAGCTGTTTGCCCTCTTTTAATTACCCGAAGAGTAAAGGCTTATTCAAGTGGATTGTCGTAGGTGGAAAAAAGAACAAAATAGACTTCAAAAACTGTAATTGGGTTGACTAACCACCAGAGGTCGCGGTCAGACTGCTATAATTTCTGTTAAAACAGTCAAATGAGCAGACAGGACATCAGTATGGTGCTGCGTTAGCTCCTCGTCGCAGAATTTATAATAACACTTTTAACCATGTCAAGCAGCACATTCACTACCATTCACTTTGTTTAACCAGTTTCCCTTTGACAAATTCTGAATAGTCAGACACTTATTTTACTGCATTTGACATGTTCTTGCAATACTGGTTCATCACTACATGTTCATTAAATAATAAAACACTCATGGAACAAACTTAATAAAATATTTCTACTCCACATGAGCTTTAAAATAATATTAACGTAAACCAGTTTAAATAACTCGTCTCTTTCTCATCAACTACCTTGCCTATTTTCACTATTTCACCTACATGAACAAAATAACAATTCTTTCTCAGCAATGCCATTCATTTTACATGGAGCACACAGGATAAAATCCAAATAAACATGACGCAGTTATTGTGCCGCCATATCAACTTTGCCATCGGGCCTACAGCACATTAACCACACATTAAGAACAAAACTTCCCCAAAAACGATTAACACATTTTCACACGGTTTTCTCCCGTTTTCACCTGTTTATCGCTCTTATATGATAATACTAACCTGTTAAAACAGTCAAATGAGCAGACAGGACATCAGTATGGTGTTGCTGCGTCAGCTCCTCATCGCAGAAGGAGGAAAAGCTAACATCCAAGGCGACGTCTGCACCAAACTCTCGATGGTCCCGGTCAGCTGCCAAGTATCATACTGCCCTCTACTGGCATTAAGGTGCATTACTTTTACAGAACAGTTTACAAAGACTAATAATAACAATGTCCTTAGAGACTTTAAGTTTTTTCTTTTCCTGTTAGCCTGGAATTCATTAAATATATATTTTTTTCACACAGGAATACATTACATTAGATCAGGGGTGTCAAATATGCGGCCCGCGGGCCGGATCCAGGTTAAATCCGGCCCGCGAGATGGTTGTGTAAACTTTATTCTCATACTTTACAATGTAGAGTGAAAATAAACTTACTGTGACAGTGTGAGCATTCTGTCACAGTGTCCCGATTGATCATGCGCCCTGGCTACTTGGCCAAGGGGATGTCCCTTTGGCTGACTGGTTAGAGCGTATGACTCTCACCCGGGAGTCTGGGGATCGAATCCCGCCCGGGCCCTTGTTTATTCACCTTGCCACATTATCGATGTGAGCAAGTTTTCTCTGTAATGAGTATAAGTAACCCCGGGTTTCCACGGGAGCCGTCAGCAGCACGTTACTGCAGCAGCGCGTCTTGCTTGCGTAAGCTGCTGCTTGGCCCTTCCCACGAGACGCGAAGCAGCAGGGGAGCAGCTGTCACCGACCGAGCACGAAGTCACACGAGTGACTTCGTCAGTAAACACAACAACAAGCAGGAGAAAACTACAACATGGTTTGTGTTTTATGTTCTGTCCGTTTTATAATCGCCAATAC